ACCTAACCTTTTTACTTACAGACAAGCAATAGTAAAACTATTTGAATATCATTAAATTGTTAGAAAAAATGATTATGAAACAATCATGATAACTTTGTATGTATATATATGTGAACGTATATCAAATATCCGTATTAATTCATGTCTCATCCTTACTCTTCTATTTCGTAATAAATTATCACTATTGCAACTATTACATTGTCTTAAACGTATGTGAATCAGCTTGAGACAGACATAGACAGTATGAATGTATAAGAAAGAGAGAGAGAGAGGGGTCGATTAGACGCTTTAAACTATATTTCAAGTGAGTACGATAAAAAACAAATTGTCCAATGTGTTCAATAGAAATAAGTGAATTCTCTTGTGGTGACACATCCATAGACTGATGATAATGGCGTAAAAGAATAAGAAGACACATCATGCAACTTTAATAAAATAATTATATTTACTATAAAATACATACAGAATAATTTTAAGTTTTGTATATGTAAATACATTTCTTATGTAGAGTATGACATGCTTCTGACGAGACATATAGTCACACTTTTCAGTAACAAATGACTAGTGATGATGATTATTTCTTCACACATTCCATATATATATATATGTGTGTAGAGAGAAATATCAAATGTGCAAACTAAACGATAATAAGAGAAGAAGGGTCACCATCGTTTACTATCATTAATTGGATTCGGAAACACTGACATCCGATTAGGAAGAAGAAGAAGAGAATGAAACAAGCATAGAAATCAACTGACCGACATCATAGAAGAGGGAGAGAGAGAAAAAAAAGATTGTTTCACCAAGCGAACGGCGGCGACAACTGATATAGACTTTTGTAATGTAATTGTATTAGTTATTCTAATTTCTACACTGTACTTCTATATATATATATATATACATGTATGTGCGTCAATTTCGTTTATAAGCAATTTGATTTATTCATTATATATTGTCCGTCGGTTGACTCAAGCGTGTGTACGTGCGTACGCGTACAATGTTGATGATTTTTATGTCTAAAGTAAATCACAGAGCGACTTTTTATATGTAATCATACAAAACTACTGAGACTGAGACTCTTCATGCTTTATTGAAAGGAAAAGAAAAGAAAAGAACAAAATCAATAAATACAGCAAAGAAATCAAGAAGATATAAAAAAAATATCTAAATCAATCTATCAGCTCGTTGTTTCTTCTTTCCATAAACAATAATTACTTATATAAACAATGTCACTATTGTTATCATTATCATCAGTATGTCATTAGGTTATTTATAACACATGACAGTAAAAAGTGGTATGTTTCTGTCTCGTTTACATAAAACTGACAATGAAGGCAATAATAATACTCATTGAAGATGATATAATCATATTTAACTAGAAAATTTTCCTTTTATTATTTTTTTTCTTCTTCTTGCTTCACTAACACATGGAATGAAATAGGTTCATCATTATTTAATCGTATGTATATAACTATGTCGATAAAAATTATATTTATTATATAATTATTCTTTTAGTACAAGTACATACACACTCAACTAAGCATCAACATCTCTTTATTATAACCATATTAATCTTTCACGCTATGTATGCATGTATGTTGACATTAAAAAAATAAATATGTACTTGAACTGAAGACTATCAATATGAACAATCTATGAAGCAGAAAATCTTGTCAAGGATAAAAAATGTATAGTAGCAAAAAAAAATGAACTTACTCTCTTGTGATGAAATAGATTGCAAGTGACTATATCATTAGGATAGAACAATCATATGATGTATGCATCACTAGTAGTGGTCACAGTAAAATGTGACGCAAGATCCGAAACGCCATAGGCCAAGTACAAGAAAAGAGAAGCAAAAGAGTTATCTCATACAGTCATCAGAGTAATCGACAATGAATAAAGAAAAAAGAAATCAAGCTAATCTATGAAATAATATCTCAGTACAAGAACATTAGAGATATACTTTAAAGATATCGAAACGTTATTACATAAATATTATCTCGTGTATTAATAAAATAACTTTAATTCATAAAAATAATAATAATAATAAAATTGTAATTTGTGATAAGAATGTTCTAGATAAGAGAAAAAGAACTCTATATGATTTTATTATAAAAACATACACTTTCTCATAACAATACGCTATTATAAATATTTGTTTTACTCACTCAACCGTTTTTAGTGTCCGAAAGGCAGTTCACATACATCACTGATGATATGATGTTGATGGCTGTATTCATAATATATTACGAATACGTTCAACAATATGACAGGATAGTTGACTATATATATATATATAATATGACACAATCATAAGTAGAAATCCATCTGTCTACTCGCTTTAATTCTATCGATTGTATCAATAACTCTTTAGTGAACAACTGTAAATTGTATTTGATCAAATAAATATACGCTTGATGATTTTCAAATATTACACAACATATACATAATAAGTACGGTTCATCAAACACAATGATGGACAGGAAACTTACTTGTTAAAATATGTGAACAATTTTTATGGCATAATTGAATATAGTAAAGAAATTAATCAATATGAGCTTGACTTGTTCTTAAATAAAATCGATTAGAAAATGATGAAGATGATGGTCAATTCTTTTCTTCTTGTCATTTCGTACACTTCATTTTGGGCGTGAAGTTTTGTATAACAAAGGGACGCATCGAATGACCTAAATCATTAAAATAGATGATTTTTCTTTCTTTGACAAGCATTCTTTTGTTAAAATAAAAGATCATGGGCGTATACAGAAAAAGAACAAAAACGATTGACATTCTTTAAAATGTCTTTGATATATGAATGTAGAAGACACGAAAGAAGAGAAGGAATGAAGTAGTGCCGGTCAATTAATCGATTGACAAAAAAAAAGTTCCAAAACTATGATTATATTCGTATACAAGACTAGAAAAATTATAACTAAATAGAGCAAGTACTTGATGAATGTGTTCACACTCATAGAGTGCTAATGGTGATGATAATTTTAAAAGAATAAGATTGACGACGAAAATGAAATAATTAGGTCAAATGATTGACGCCGCAGGAGACTATGTCCATCTGTGAATGTATTTCTCTATATATGTAAAGACAATTCTATTCCGTCTATTATTTTTAACATGGTTATAAATATGAGGGGAAAAAAAGACAAGTTATGCTAAACGAAAAGTCTACTCAACATGATATTTTGTCTCAGAATGATGACTTTCTTTCGGTTATCATTAGATATATATCAGATAATGATTATTTGACTAAAATATATAATGTAAACTATTTGTACTACAGAGGTAATTAGTATTATATGATTAAAAGTTTCAACTAATACTTACTTCTTATTTGTTGATAGCTAATTGATTCAAAGAGTTCATAGTCTTTTTTTTTGCAGGACAGAAGAAAAATAAGTATGACCACTAATTATATCATCGCATGATATATATTCTCACGCAAGATGTTAAACAAGTGAATGTTAGACATCAAAGAAACGGTCATCTTAAAAAATTTATAACTAAAATTTCAAAGTATACGGTCGCCAGATGATTCTTTAACACATCATTCATCTAAGTTAGAGAGAATGTAAAGAGAATAATTATTTGTTTTTCATTGGACCATTTACTATATGTCGGATATGACTGTATATATTGTTTTTGTACATGTATAATGTTCATTACCATACCAGACAAATGATTAAGTGATTTTTCATTTCTTTTTGTACTGTTGTTGTTATTATATCTGTTTTCAATTCAATTTCTAACCATCGATCCACTTAAGAAATAAACGAAAACACTTCTATGTATTCTTTTTACAATCAATGTGCCTTTTCTTTTTCTTTTTTTTTCTATATGTGTCATCTACTTGATCTAACTAATGAGTTTCCATAAGTTGATGAACTGTTTATTGAACCGTAATCAATTATGACCTTGTGCCGCCAGTAAGATAATCTTTTTTTTTCTTTTCTTTTCATGAAAACGTGTTGCAAAAAGGTAATTAGTTCAACGGTGATAGTAGAGGAGGTCATGATTATTGTACTTTCCGGCAAAGAAAACTTCAAGTGTTTCCTTAGGTTTAATTAAGCGTATGCACAGATGGTTAAAAGATCGAAATTGATTCCAAATGATTTCATATATATATATATAGTGATTCCCTTGTGTGCTAAATTGTATTCTTTATAGTTTACCGTCTTATGATCGACAATGCATATACATTCATTGATATTGATCAATTAAACAAGATTTTCTTAGAAAAAGATATCAATTCAATACCATACTTATCATTATATATGAAGAGATCTAGATTCATATTTCCTCATTTTTATAGTTAAGAAAATATTCGTATAATTATTTTTATTTTGTTATATATATTTATATATAATTATTCAAATGAGATAACAACATAACCACAAAAGAAAAAAGAAAAAAGAAAAAAAGATTTGCACATGTCATAATGAGAAAAGCAAGCTATAAAAAATGAGTTCACATTTGCAGACGGACAGATGAGTATATTATCGATATCTATATGAGATAATTCATTAGTATTGAAACTGTTAAAGATGAAAAGCAAACGGACGGGTTAAATTTTTTTTTTTTGTAATAAGTTTGACAAAACAAAACAAAACAATAGATATATATATATATTTGTAAAGCAAAAAAGCAAAAAAAGTGGAATGTAAATGAGGAAAAAAAGAATGGAATAAAGCTTCGATTGTCGTTTGATCGATAGATATATATAATTAAAAAAAAAAGTGGAATGGAGATTTTTTTGTCATCATCGCGGCTCATCCGAAAAAGACTAGAAATTAATAAGCACAGAGAAATACAAGATATTTACATATTATAAAGTAGATAGATGTTCATATTAAGCATGTATGTATTCCGAAGACCGGTCCTATCTCGTGTCGAACAAAAAACAAAACAGAAAAGAATGTGCACCGGCGTTGACTCAGAAAAGAGCAAAATTCTTTTCTTGTTTTTTTTTCTTCTTCTTCTTCTATCTATAATCTTTCACCTTCATAATCTTCTTCTTTTATTCGTCCAGCTTTAATATCATCGATACCAGCCCATAAATCAAAGATAAATTCATCAGTAAAATTAAATGCGCCTATTTCTGATTCATCAATTGCCATAGCAAAATCACTTGGATTTTTTTTATCTTGCGCTAAATCCCAAATTTGTTGTGCTAAAATAAAAAACAGGAAATTTTTGTTATTTTCAATTGAAAATAGTATCTCAAATCTCAGATAAAGGGAAACATAGTATTATCATTTCTATCAAATTATATGGGTTAATCATCATTGATTTGAGAACTGTTAGCTTCATAATAGAGCAACGAAAGAAAGCGAAATGTGACCTTCGTGGGACTCGAACCAACACCTTCTGCTATCCGGGTAGATGTTCTAAGTCAGTTAGACTAGAAAGACCAACTCAATGTCTAGTTTAGTGTCGAATGATTCATCACAGAATGATAAGAAGAACTTACCTAAATCAGAATCATGAATACCCATAAATGTTTCAAGAAGAGAATTGATACGATCAATAGCTTTAACCATTGTATCATCAACATCTTCAACACTTGCTTTACCATCAGCTTTGAATCGAAGTGTTTTTGTACCACTTTTAACATCACCTGGTTTACGACCACGTTTAGCTGGTTCAACATCTGCAACAAAAATATATATTAGTAAACAATTAATTAAAACACTATTGTTATGACTTTTCGATGTTTTCTTCAAAAACTTAGCTTTTGAACTCTCATTCATGAGAAAATTTTTCATCAAAAAAATGATGTAGAGCTTTGATTTTTAGAAAACTTCAGAATATTAAAAAATTTAACTACGTACGGAATCCAAATGTATTTGGTTCTACTAAACGCATTGTAAATGTAGCACCAACAGGAAGTTCTTTAAGCATTTTTGCAACTTCAAAATGTCGTGTACCAATTAATGATTTATCATTAATTTTTTCAATATGATCACCAATTTTAACAAGTGTTTTAAGTCGATCAATAACACTTCCATCTTTAACTCGTTTAATAAACGCATAACCTATTTCATAAAAATTAAAAGCTTTATTACATTATTATTCATACTCAAACAAACCTGCTCCATTATCAGTTATAGTTAAACCAAGAGCAGGTTCAGATTTAACAATATCAATTTCTTTTGGTTGTCCTTTAACGTGTGCAAATATAAAATCAGTTAAACCGATTTGTCCACCCAATAATTGACTCATATCAATTTTATGTGTATTTAATGTACAAAAAAGTATCTATAAAATAAAATAATCATCTATATAAATATATCGTTTTTTTTCAAATAAAATCTATTTACCGTTGATGCTGGAATTTCAAAACAATCAGCTATTTTTTGATATAATTCTCTAACATTACTAAAACCTGATATAAGACCTGTTGGACTTCCATGAGCTAACTGGCAATGAAATATAAGTTTTGGTGTTTCACCATTTGATGAACTTGTTGTTGAACGTTGACTATTATTAGACGAAGAATAGGATTGAGGTCGACTCGATGTCGTTGTTGTTGATGAACTTGGATTAGCTGATGATGTTGTTGCTGTTGTTGTTGGTATTGCTGAATCGGATGATGATGGAATAATACCACTTACAGATTCATCCTTTTTTGTTTGTGATTTTCGTCTTGGAGGAAAGATTGGCATATTGAAATGATCAATAAATAATTAATTAACTTCTTGTTCTACACGCATACACAAAATCTAGAATAAATTATTCGAATAATTTCTCGATTATTACTGTATCATAACTTTAAAAATACTAACATATATATATATACAACCTTAAGTCAATAAAAGTATCATCTTTCTCTCTTTACACTCAATTCTGTAATACATGAAGGTAAATAAATAAATACGATTTGTTGTTTTGTCCGCAAATACAATTATCATTGGTCGATATATTCGAACAATCAAAAAACATTTTTACCTAATGGAAGTATTCACCTTGACAACATATATCATTATGGTACTATGTTAAGTAAGAGAACGTGATTGATTTATTATTAATTGTTATAACATTATGTTAAATTCATGTGAATTTTTATAATTTTATTATGGTAATAAATATTCTATACCTATATATATTATTTATATATTTCTTTTATTGAATATAGCCAACAAAAACGAGTAAATCAACCGGTGGTGCCTTACGTTCAACAAGTGCCTCATCAAAACCTAAAGGTCGTGGTAAAAGTAGTTCACCAAAACGTAAAGCTCGTGCTAAAAGTGCTATTGCACGTCCTGAAATCGATGTCTTATCACCTGCATCTGTTATTAATGCATATTATATATGTCATGATGTTGCTGATTGTTTAGATGCACGTGGTTTTGCATGGGAAGGAGCTAAGAAAGGCAAAAAAAAGAAGAAAAAGAAGAAAACGTGAATTATGTGCTGATTTTTTTGATTAAAATAACATTCTTCTATTTCAATGTTGTGAATATGCTTTTCGTATTTTACTTTCATTTATTTATGCTTTATGAAAAATTTTCGAGCCTTATATGTAATTTTGCTTTTGTTTGGACAAATTGTTTATTGAAAGTGTATTAAACACTAATATAAACAATAATATTGCTTAAATCAATAAATCTATTTCTATATTCTTTCAAAATTTAAAATAATGAAAAAAAAGGAAGGAAGGAAGGAAGGAAGGAACGATCGATAAAAAAAACGAACAACATTATCAAGAATGCATAGAAAGAATTAATAAATGCAGTTATTATATCGAAATAATAAATCATATCAGACGATACAATTCGAAGTAAGTTTGAAATTATTTTAGGATAAAAAATTATCTTTTAGAATAAAATTCATTCGAAGATATCGTTGGTACAAGAAGATAAGTATAAATTGCATAATAATGAATAGCTGCACCGAAAAAAACAAAACCATGCCAAATTGCATGTGCAAATGGTATGATACCATCACATTTGAAGAAAAATATGCCTAATAGGAAGACTAAACCACCAATAGCTAATTCTAATATACCGGTATGATCTGTCTAGAATTAACAAATGCAAGAAGAAAAAAAATCAATCAATATTGTATAGGTAAATTTACCATATCAATGATAACGATAGCAGGAAAAACACCAACAATTACATAAAAACATGTTTCAAGCCATTTATATCTTTCATGATATATAGTTTGATAAGTAATACCTAAGATAGACATGATCCAAACGAGTGCTACAGTAAAACTTGTTGAAATTGTTTGAGTTGGACGAAGAAGAAGCCTAAATATATATTAATGAGAATATTAGTCTACAAAATATTTATTAATTTAACCAGGGTGTATAACTGGCACTGATAAAAATATAGATAAATGCTCGATCAACTCGATGTAATAAATGTCTCATTGTTGAATCTCTGGAGAAATAAATTAAATTTATATTAGTTTATCATATATAATTTACTTCATACTTGTATGTTGGATGAAAACATGAACAGTGAAAAATAGTTGAAAATGAAAAAAGAAAAATAAGAGCATTACCATAGATGACACTACTCCAATATTGTGCTGGTGTTTTTGCATGTAATAATAGACGTTGAGCAGCAATCCACGATGGAATAATTAGACAACCATGTGTTAGACAATTTGCTGCATGCTCTATATACAAAAATTATTAAAAAGAAATCTTAGACAGAAAGTTATTATACCATGACTAGTTGGTACATAAGCTCGTTCAACTGCTCGTTCATTCATAAAACGACGCCAACATTTATGAGTTTTCTGTTCTATCACACTTGATGACTTCTGTACAGAATCATCAATAGTATCCGGAACAACGGTACGTTTCTGAATATGCATATCGATTAACTATAGAATAATAAGATAAGAAAAATAGTTTACAAAATTTGTATAATTTACATTTTCGTAGCAATAAAAATCACCAGCTATATGATTAATTATTAAATATAATATTTAGACATGGATAAAATTAGTTATAAATGCGAACAGAAGCAATTGTGCTTAGTATTTTAGGTACACATGTGCGGAAAACATGTCTCGGTCCTATTCAAATCATTACGAATGAGTCTGTCTAATAGTCGCTGTGCCTAGAAGATGTCGCACAAGTTCAGAATATCTTATATTTTACATACGACTGAATGCTCTTAGGATTTTTGTTTATTATCATATTTGTAACACTATATACAAGAACTAAAGCATGCCAACGATATTAAGAAACATATTTGTTCATAGCATATAAACTTTAAAAACAAGTAAAAAAACATTTTCTAATTAATGATAAGAATCTAATGATTATGATACTATCACGTAGATCTATTATCGATCGATCGATCGATTGACATTATAAATTAGCGTGATCATGAAGTAATTAATATATATATATAATTTCAGTTGAAATATTTAGAAATTATACTAAAGATATCAACCATAAGACTCTTATGCTCATAGAAATAGTTAGTTTATGAAGTACAGATCAATATCATATAATAATACTCTTGATCTCCTCTTAGCGTTCAATTTAATTTGATTGATGTATAACTTTTAATCGACTGTAATTGAATGAATGAGTTATATTTAGACTTTCTATTAAACAACTAAGCTTTAGAGAAAAAAATTACCTTAATTGACTTCATCTAATAAAGTAGTTTTAACGCTACACTGTTTAAAATTTTAACTATTAATTATAGATATTGTCTAACACTAGTCAGTCAGCGTATATTACAACAAGTAATTTATTTTGATTCTTAGAAAAAAAAATAATGAAATTATTAAGTCAGGTATTATTTACATTTATCTACAAAGGTTGAAATAAAAAATCTTTATTTCGTATTAGTAAATATTTTCATCTAGTAATATATAGAAGAAATTCTACTATAAAATTCAATCTACTAAAAGAAATTTTAAAAATGAGGAAAGTTTGTTTACAAGCGCCTGCCAGTTGTGTTGCATATTTGCTGCATGAATTATTAAATTTTAATTATTATTTTTTTTTCTTTCTTCAACTGCAATATTCTCTGTTAATGTGGCATATTCATCAGTGTAGAAGAAATGGAGCAAGAATTACCTTTACAATCCGATTCAAATACAAAAACCAATCGAGAAACAAATCATGTAATGTTATCACATCCTTGGATTCGTCTACTCTTAATTGGAACTACTGTAAAATCAATTTTGGGACTTATCATATTATTCCTTCTACTTATTGTATCTATTGTTGTACTTGCTGTTGGTTGTCTTTTTCGACAGTCACAACATTGTTTGATTGAACCTAGACTAAGTCTATTTTTAATTATTGCTGGAATTGGATCAATAGAATGGATTATTCTTAGTATTATTCTTTCGACAATTACAATTGTACTACCATATATTCGATCATTTTTCTTAGCTGTTTTTATCATTTTTATTGCATCGATAATACTTATTATTAATCTTTTCTTGTTTGTTTGGGTAATATGCGGTAGTGTATGGACACTACAAGTTTTAGATACAGTTCAATATAAAACACCAGATAAAAATACATATTGTCAACGAACATTGCATCATTTTACTTTAGGATATTTAATTCTAACATATGTTTTAACTGCTTTACAATGTTGGTATCGACTTTGTACTATTGTGTTTTGTTCAGTAAAATAAGAATGTATAACTTAGTTTTTTTTTCTATGAAATAGAACTTCTCTATTCAAAAAAAAAAAGATTGTATGATGTTTAATGTATGTATTTATTAAAGGTAATTTAAAATAAAAGTATTAGCTTCTGACATAGCATATACCTATTGACAAAAAGATATTTTCTGTTTCACGCAACTTTGGTGAATCGTATTAATCATTTATAAAAACCATGAACGAAAAAAGAATTGTATTCTACTTAAAAGTTGCATATAGTTCATTTTATCTTCATAATATGAAATAATTATTTGAACAAAACTGATCAGATATCGATGAATGTTTAAAATCTTGTTTTCTCACAAGGATTTAAACAAAAGATTAGAAAGTCATTGACGAATGCTAATATCACGGATGATGTTGGACGATTCTACGAAAGAGTGTTCTAATAATCGAAATCTAATGTACTTGTTGTTGATGTTGGCATTTCTTGTTCATGATCAATTAATCGATTAGCGTTGATTACTAAAATATAAAAATATTCTTTTAAATATCAATGTCTCCTATTAATTTATTTAAAACAAAAAGGGTCAGGAGAGCGCCAGTGGTTTGGGTTGAAACCAACAATTGCATCAGCAGTAATGATTCATTTGAAAATATTCGAAGTAACCACAAAGCAATGCCTATCCCTCGATACTAATGGAATACTGTTTACTATATGAATTAATTTTGAATTGAGATTGTGTAAGATTTTTTTTACCTTTCCGGGCATATAAAAATATTGCTTTAGATGTCAATGTCTCCTATTAATTTATCTAAAACAAAAAGGGTCAGGAGAGCGCCAGTGGTTTGGGTTGAAACCAACAATTGCATCAGCAGTAATTATTCATTTGAAAATATTCGAAGTAACCACAAAGCAATGCCTATCCCTCGATACTAATGGAATATTGTTTACTATATATATTATTTTTGAATTGAGATTGTGCAAGATTTTTTTACCTTTCCGGGCATATAAAAATATTGCTTTAGATGTCAATGTCTCCTATTAATTTGTTTAAACCAAAAAGGGTCAGGAGAGCGCCAGTGGTTTGGGTTGAAACCAACAATTGCTTGAGCAGTAATTATTCAGTGAAATATTCGAAGTAACCACAAAGCAATGCCCGTCCCTCAATACTGATGTAATTCTGTTTACTATATATATTAGTTTTGAATTGAGATTGTGCAAGATTTTTTTGCTTTTCCTGTCGTTGTTTTTTCTTAATAGTTTCTGTAAATGCACTATTACTCGATATTGATAACTGTGATTTCATTAAATTAGGTTTAAATGATTTTTTTAATGTAATGGATGATAAACGTGCTGTAAGTGTTGTTGATGAATCTAATGTTGGTGAACAAAGATGTGCTGATAAAGAAGTTTTTTTTATTTGTTGGTGGTGTTAATGTTACATGATTTATTGAAGGCGCTTTTATTCGATTAGATTTATTTAATTCAAAATCATAAGGTTTATAAGAATTTTTCGTATAAAAGACTCACGCTTTCATAGTAAAATACTTTCATCTGACACTATTTCTAATCTTTTGATAATCATAATATTGTAAAACTATTAAATGGAATTTCAACTACTTCGTATGTAACAAGTTCATGGCGTGGAACATACTTTGGAAAAAATAGGACAATAAACAAACATTGATTAAGTTTTTTATCTTTTTAGAAAAAAAAGAATTTTATTTTGGTAATATAACCGGTTGTATTTCATAGGGAAAAAAATATAGCTTGGGTAGAATGAATAGTTAGGGAACAAAAAAAAATAATGTTTTTTATGACTTTGTATTTGAGCAACTTCTTAGAGACCATTGCCATTTGTAGCTGCATATTTTTGTGTAGTGAGATGAACACCATTATTGACTAATGAAGCATGTTCATAAGCTGAATATCGTCCAGCAACAAAAGCTGATAAAGGTAAAGCTGTATAAGCAAATACAAGAGCAGCAATCATTGAGCGTGATGAATGAGAATTGAGTAATAATACTGAAGCATAATCGAATAGACCAGCTGTCATCAATACACAACCAACGTAGATTAATAGAGGAGTGATGAAACGACGATTAGTTGCTTTTGTTATATCAAGTGCTGAAAAAATACCACCAATTAATAAAGATAGAAGACCCAAAACACAAATAATGAATGTTAATGGCAAAAATTTAGCATCACATATTTCATCAGTTCGACACATTTTAAAAAGACCCTATAAAATCAATGAAAAAAAATTCATTAAATAAATAAATAACAATATTCATCTAATACATACATTCCATTGATAACCATGTTGTCGTTCACCAACAATTTCTGTTCCATTATTAATTGGTTCGACAATAGGTCTGACTGTCCAGTAATTAGTAGCTAATGCAATAGTGCCTAATATAATACTTAAGAAAGTAAAGACAGTAGCTAATATAGCCAAACGACGATTGAGTGGTTCATAAGTCATGTTAATGTCTTAGTATAGAGACGATAATATATGAAGAAGAAAGTGATAGCTATGAATGATCTGAAATATAAATAGAGAGTTTTATTTTATAGGGAAGAAAGAATAGGACAATTAAAAAAGAAATCTTCTTTAGAGAGGAAAATTTATATCTATACACATGTACTATCCATTTACTTATTCGATAGATATATATGAATTGTATTTCAAGGATAAGAATGGAATGCTGTTATTATATATGATAGAGTTTTTTCTCTCTATTACAAACGTTATTTTGAAATTATTGATCACTAAATCCGTTTTAAAACTGATATTTTGTATTATATTTAAAAATAATACTAAGTGGCGACACCTTTCGTTTGAGATTCATATTTGTATTTTCTATGTGAAATATATTGCTTTATTAAACACTTATAAATCATATTGCAACTATATGGATATCAATGTCTTTTTTAAACAGGCAGTTTCCTAGAGAGAAGTTTGATCTACCAGTTAATCATTGTTACTTAATTTTCGTATTTGAAATTTTAATAAAATACGATTGATTATTCCTTATGAAAGATATAAATAAAATCTATTACATTGTCTAAATTAATATCTTATGATTAAATGTTTTTATTTTAATAATTATATATAAGAAATACATGAATACAGTATAGATATAATAATATGATTATTTTATATTATTACAAAACACAACATACATAAGATTGATTTTGAGAGTGCATAAAAAAAACGAAACACAAAAAAAGATGAAGATGATTAGTGTGTAGAATGCACCATCATCTATCTGACACTATGTTTGAATACGAAAAACAATAATATATCTGACATTAAATGAAACGAGCTAGTTGTCCATAAAATTCCATTAATGATCGAAGTAATGAATTCATTGATGGACGTTGATCAATTGTAGTTATCCAACAAATACTCATTATTTTATATCTATATATCAACAAGAATATTAAACATATTTAAATAATGATAATAACTTACAAAGAATCAGGACAATTCATGGGTTGTATGAGTCGATTATTACATTGAAGATGTGTAATCAAATTGCATGCTTCAATATCAGCATAGGGTTGTAAACCACGACTCATCAATTCCCAAAGTATAACACCATATGACCACTAATACACAAACAGAATAAATACTAAGATACAAAGAATAATAAAGAAACATACAACGTCTGAAGCCGTAGAAAAACGTCGATCATTAATTGATTCAATAGCCATAAATTTTAATGGACGACTTTCATTGGAAAGATCAGTTGGAAGACAATCATAATCTTGTGGAAAAATATCACGTGATAAAGCATAATCAGTTAGTTTTACCGTTAAATCATCCATAACTCTAAAAAAATCATTATCAATTTATTTAAAAAAAAATTTGACGGAAGGTCTTTATCTTATATCATTAAATGACGTTTTTTTAAATTATTATCATAATAACTTAGAACGTTCTATATGTGAACTGTACTCGGTTGACACTATTAGTTAAAAATAGCAATAACTACCACCTACTTCTAGATAAAACTAATTGAAAGAGAAATATATGACTCATTAGGATATCATCATTTTTTTACTTGAAATTACAGTATCATAATTCACTCAACAGATCTTTCAAAAGTCCGTAGAACGAATAAAAAAAACAATGATATAGATATGTAAGTTGACGCGAGCAATTTAAATCAAATAAAAGAAAAAGATAAGACATTTTAAAACATAAGAATATTATCATTCACATTGTGTCTATTGTTGTCTAAACAATGTTTTGCTGTTTTCCACCTTTGAGAAGGCCCAGTATAACTACGTATGTATTTTTTTTTAAACTTTTTTCATGCACCAGATGTGCTGTTATGTCTTATTCATTTTTCCTATTTACATTCTTATTATTATTAGGCAGAACGACGAGAAGAAACCGCTTATAAAAAGTAACACTACCACTATTAACTATCGTACAATATTCGCAATTCCATATGCTCATGTTATTCGAGATGATGAAATTCAAATTGAATCATCGAATGTAATGGACACAAATGGTAATGATGCTTATCTTTTGTTCAACGCTACAATATCTGATCAAACTTATGAAACAGGTATAAATCACGGAATAATATTATTATTATTTGATAATTTGTTTTTTTTAGCATGTGTTTCATTCGATGATAACGATGTAGCAACTCCTGTTGTATTTACAACAACAACTGCTAATCCACATTTTCTATTTGAACGTCTTTTCCAAGTCGATCATGTCACTGCTATTAATCCTTCTTCAACAATTCGAATGCATCAAATTAATTCAGCAAAAACAAAATTTTCCAATACTATACCAATGGCTCAACCATTCGATGAATTTGCTATAAGTTCAACAATACCAAATAATCCTCATGATATAATAACCAAAACAGACAAAAATTAATAAATTAAATACTTACAAACAATTTCGTGTACCTATATCCTTCATTAACATTTTACGTTTGTGTAAAAAATATAAACCTTTGGCTATATGTATTGCCATATAAACGAGTTCTTGTGTTGATAATAACTGAAAAGAAATATATATATATAATATATGTGTAATGTAAAATTATTTTTTTTTTGCTAACTTGTTGTCGAGAACTTGTTCGATTTTGAATAATAAATCGTTTAAGAATTCCTTTGTTACTATATGGATAGATAATTAATGGATATGGTGATAATTCATTTTTATAGACAATGCCTAATGGATTATTTATATTTGAATGTTTTAATGTAGCAAATAAACAACAATCATGTAACATGTCATTGAGTTGAACTGGTGTTGCAGATGAATTTATAGTTTTACCATAGATATTTTGTGTTGACATAGTTGTTAATGTATCATTCAAAGAACAATGAAATAAACAACCAAATTTTCCTATACAAATTATGAAATGTATTGATTTTAACTAACAAAAGTCTCAATGAATAGATTAATATAACAAGTAGCTTAAAAATCGGACAAAAAGTACTTTCTGTGTACGCTTAAAGGACAAAAATTAGCACATCAAACTATTTTTAGTCATACTAAAGGAGTCACAGATGTCTAATAATATATCTGATGTTCTTTTAACCACTGTTATATAATAATAATAATCACTATACTATTTTTGAATAATAATAATGTAAGCCATCTGTTACACTGATGACAAAATTTATAACTCTGGGTATGCAAAATTTAATATTAAGAATATCTACTAATAAAATATACCTTCCATAATAATTTCATGTAATGTAACTCGGTTTGGATCAATAGTACAATCTGCAAAAGTTGCTGAAGATAATAATTCATCAGCTGTTTTCATAAAATCGTATTGTGTACATGAATATAAACTAACATCTTCAAAAGTTGTCATATCAAATGTCATAGGTAACGCTGGATGATCTTGGTTATCATCAATTAAACTAAAAGAAATAGATAGAATTCGAAGAATGATCTTAAAATTGAATAAAAATATTTACTTTTCCGATTTTTTATGTTTTGTTGTTGTCATCCGATAAAGACAAAATAAACTCATAGCCGTACAAAATACAAGTAGAAAAACTACAATAGCAATAACTAATGAATAAGCTAATATAGTTGCAAGTGTTGTTGATGCAAAATCTCGATAATTAGCTAAATAAAAATTAAAATATTTCTTTTCTCTTGTTCAATAAACTTACATTGTTTCATAAGTAAATAATCATTTATTTGATTTGTACTATAAAATTGTTTAAGTACAGAAGAATTCATCGTTTGATCTTGACAATATTTTAAAAGCTTTAAATTTATAATCATTGATGAATGATTTGTTGTTGCATTATAGAATCGAAATAATATTGAACAATTAACTCGTTGTGATAATACACATGGAAAAAATATACTAAATGCCGAAGTTTTTCTTGGTACAATTCCTTGTTCAGCTATATTTAATACTGGTCGTAATAATACTTGTTCATTACTTGAACTTGTATTATATTCATAGTGTAGTTTTGGCTTAAAAGAGAAAACATTAATATTTTATTAGTTATTTAGACAGAGACGGAAGGTCAAATCTTATCGTACAAGTAACGCTCGTCCGAAGACTCTCTTAGCTCTTTCTCATAGAAATGCAGCCTCTTCACATTTACTGGAAAAACAATTGAAAACCTTGCTCTCCTTTGTCGTTTTCTACTCAGTGACTTGTCGAACTAGACTTTAACGAATAAGTGAAGTGTCAGTAATCTTATACGCAAGAAAGCCAACAGTTTATGATCACCACACTTTGCACTACAAACAGGCGAACAACTGGACACTCATAAAAATGCATTACTCAAAACCTCGGTCTCTATCACTTCACGTCACTTCTCCCAACTCACCGTCCACCCTTTCCTTCAGTAGTCTGAGCAAATGATGCACACGTTTGAAGTTCCTGTACCAAAATACCTCAAGAAATGTTTTTTTTAACCCTGCGGACATACAAGCAAGGAAACAAATAATCTATGTTTACTGGACTTTTCTCTACGAGAAAGAAAATAAAATTTTCAAGATACATTTAATTTCAAATGAAATAATCTGACCTAGCTTTCTAAAGTATGACCAATGTCACAAGCCCTCTCTATTAATGATCTATATATATCTTAGTTTGTGTTAATATTCACAATTTTTTGATAAAACATACTGTATTAATATCGGATCGATCTTGATTCCAAGTCAATTGAAGAAAATGAATATCAGGAGATATTACTAAAGCAGATTCTAATGCTGCTTGACGAATTTGATTTTCATTGATAAAATATAATTGATGTCCATTTAAATCTATACATGCAAAGAAAAAAAAAGTTCATTAGAAAATCGAACTAGAATATTTTTTGTTTAAAAATACCATATAATTGTTCAACAGAAACGGAATCAAGATATAAATTAAGTTGTGCATTAATTGAATTAATAAACAATAGAAATAGAAAGATATTCATTTTTGTTCAAAAATACTTCTTCATCGATATTAATGAAACCATATCTGTACAGTTTATATATGTTGAACAATATTTTCTTTTTCTATTGGTTTAATTGAATAGAGACCGCTAGACGTATTCATAAATCTGATTGGTTAAGTGTAGGGTAAAACAAAGACCATCATTCCTGTGAAAATCTATGAGTATATAATATAAAATAGAATGCAACATAAGTAAATAAATGGCAGTATTGCATATCATGTGTCATAATATGAATGTTTTTCGTAATAACAATATTCTCAATTTGGGTTTTCTCCCCATATGTTACATAAAATATATGTGAAAAAAAATTGTTTGTAACCAATAAAACTTTTCAATTCTAGAAAATATGGGTGTACCGAAATTTTTTCGATGGATATCAGAAAGATATCCAAATATTAGCCGAGTGATTAATGATAATCAGGTATACATTTACTAATATATATACATATTAAAACCATTTCTCTTTTAAAAAGATACCTGATTTTGATAATTTCTATTTGGATATGAATGGAATAATTCATGCATGTTCTCATTTAAATGAAGATAGTTGTGAAGTAAATGTAACAGAAGAAGAAATCTTTCGAAATATTTTTCATTATATTGATGTAAGTTTTAATTTAATTCAAACAATAAACAATAAGATAATAAAAAATCTAATGTCGAATTTTTAAAGTTTTTATTTCGATTGATAAAACCAAAAAAAGTCTTTTTTATGGCTATTGATGGTGTTGCACCACGAGCAAAAATGAATCAACAACGTGCTAGACGTTTTCGTGCTGGTCAAGATCGAATTAGAAAATTAAAAAAGATTGCAGAAAAATCTGGTCAATCATTAAAAAGTTTAATTGATAATCATTTTGATACAAATTCGATTACACCTGGTATAATCATAAAAATATGAATGTCATTCAATAGTTGAGTTTTATTTGTCTTTAAGGAACACAATTTATGGCTAATCTACATGAACAATTAAAATATTTTGTACATGTTAAACTTACAACTGATCCATTATGGGAAGGTGTCGATGTTCATCTTTCCGGTCATTTAGTATGTATATTCGAAATTTTGTTTTTGTTTTTATTGATCATCTTTAAATTAGACGCCTGGTGAAGGTGAACATAAAATTATGGATTATATTCGATATACACGTTTACAACCTGGATATGATGTGAATACAAAACATTGTCTCTATGGTTTAGATGCAGATTTGGTAAGAGACAATTTTTTTTATTAGAGTGGGAATTCCTTTCACAAAAAAATGTAACTGATGAACTGTATAGAAAAATTTGTATACTTTACAGATGGATGAGTATGATTGATAGAGTGATTAGCAACTTCCTCATACATCCGATAGTACAGTTCTATGAGTAAACTCATCATCAACTAATTTTCCGATGATTGATATCTAACTGCTAGACATCTGTTCTTCATTTTGTTTTTCTTTAGATTATGCTTGGCTTAGTCACACATGAAATACATTTTGCATTATTACGTGAAGAAGTTAAATATGGTTCAAAGAAAGCATCAAAAATGTAAATATCTTTATTTCTGTTTTTGATTAAATCTATTCTGAATTAACTAGTCTTACACCTGAAGAAATTAATTGGCATTTATTTCATACATGTTTACTTCGAAATTATATCGATCTTGAATTTCGTTCAATGAAAGTAAATAAATCGAAATATATTGATTTCATTGATAACTAATTTTTTAATTCAAAGGAAAAATTAAAATTTACATATGATCTTGAATGTATTATTGATGATTGGATACTTATGGCATATTTAGTTGGTAATGATTTTATTCCACATTTACCACGTGTTCATATTAATGAAGAAGCTTTATCAATTCTATGGGAGACATATAAAACAGTTTTACCAACTCTTGATGGTTAGTTAAATTCTTTTGTTAGATTAAAATTTCAATATTTCTGTTTTTCTGCAAGGTTATTTAAATGAATTTGGTGAATTAAATTTACCTCGTTTTGAAATTTATTTAACAGAATTAGCAAAATTAGATCATCAGAGATATGCTGATGAGAATGATACATTTAAAAATTTGAATAAAGCAACTGGACGAAAGACAAATCCAATGGAAAAAGAATCACCACTAGATCAAGATGATGATATTGGTGGTGGTTTTAATTTTGCTGCATTGGATCAATTAAACTCTAAAGAACCACCATCTACAATTTCAGGCGATAAATATCCCGTTCAAAAACCTTCTTTCAATGAACGAAAATCTCCTGAATTAAGTTCAGTATCAGACGATGATGATGAATCATCCGATTCTGATAGTTCAAGTGATAATCAAAAGAAACGAAAATCAAAAACAATAAATGACAATGATATTGATAAGATGCCATTAATTGAAGCTGAATTTCGTCAACATAAAAATCATTATTATCGTGAAAAAATGAAAATAAATATAACATCAACTGATCAACTGAAAATTTATATTGAACAATATATTGAAGCATTACAATGGATTCTTAAATATTATTATCAAGGTTGTCCATCATGGTCATGGTTTTATCCACATCATTATGCACCATATTTATCTGATTTAAAGAATTTTAAAGATTTAAAAATTAATCTTCAAAAAGGAACACCATTCAAACCATTTGAACAACTTTTAAGTATGTTTTGAGGGAAAATTATATTAATATAATAGATTTTTTGTTTAGGTGTTCTTCCACCAACAAGTCGTGATCTTTTACCAAGTGTATTACAATCATTAATGGTCGATCCTAAAAGTCCATTATTAGATTTCTATCCGGAATATTTTGAATTAGATCAAAATGAAAAAAAACATGATTGGGAAGCACTTGTTCTTCTTCCATTTATTGATGAACAACTTCTTTTAGATTCAATTACAAAATATTATAATCAACTTGATTTAAATGAACAAAATCGTAATCAAGAATTACCATCATTATGTTATAGAACAACAGAAAAGCTACGAGCAACAGAAAATTCTTTAGGAAAAAATCTTCATTTTCCACCTTTGAAAGAAACTCGAGCAATATGCACAGAAATTCCAGCTGATCAATATCGACCAGATGGTCTCTATTTTAAACATAATCATTGTCAAGAAAAAGATATGATTATTTTTCCGAAATTTCCATCTTTAAATGTTTTACCGTACAAATATGCTTATAAAGCTAGTGCTGTTAGTCTATTTGAAACACGTTCAAAAGCAACAACACTTATTTTAAATTTAATACCTCAATCTGATTCGGATTGTATAACATATAATCCTCAATGGAATCCAAAAGGTGAAAATGCCCTTCCACCATTTCAAATAACACATAAAAAACCATTAATTGAACGTTATCTTGGTAAACGTGTTTTTGTTGATTGGCCTCATTTTCAATATGGAATTGTTTGTGCTATTAGTGATTTTCAATATTTCTATACATGGACTGATATACCGGGTGGATCCTATTTTTATAGTGAACCAGTAAATAATGGAGAAAATCAAGATTATAAAAATTATGTGCAAACACCTATTTATGTATCTGAAACTCCATTTGAAGTATTAACTGATCATAAACAACCAGCTCAATATAATTACCGTCCACTCAATGAAGTTCACATTCAAATGGAATATACTAAAGCGCTTAATATTAATCGAAAGTATGAAAATCAACGAGGTATTTCAATTGGACCTATACCAATTTTACTTTATGTAAGTCCATTAATTGGTTATCGAACAAAATGTTCATCAACGTCAGATAAATGTCGAACAGCAATGTGTTTCTCAAATCAAGCTTTAGCTTATCCATTACAAACAACACTTTTCACATTACCAAATTACAAGAATGACCTTGATCGAATGCCACAAACAATTTATGATCATTTTAAAATAAACGATCATATATTTGCCCTTCGATCGCCATATTATGCTTCGTCAGGCTATGTTCAACAAATAAATAAAGATAATAATAATAAAAAACATACTATATCATGTCAAATGGAATCATCTGATACAGGAAATCAACCTGATATTCATACTTTAATACCGAAATTACATGAACATCAATTACAATATTATACAGCACAACAAATAGCTGATCGTTTAAAAACATCATCTTGTGTTGTATCAAAAGTAACTGGAAAAATAAATGTTTTCAGTTCGAATAAACGACAGCGAAGAGCTATTCCAACTAATGTTGGACTTTCATGGAAAGTAAATAAACCAGTAAAACAAGTAAAGAAAGTTTCAATAGTTTATTCCTATTTTGAAAAAATTTCATTTTTAGCTTCATGGTTATACAAAGAAAATTGATCAAGTTTGGTACTATTCAGATGCAGCTATGGCAATTATAAATGATTACATGTTAAAGTTAGTTTTCATTTGAATTGAATGAAACTATTAAACTATTTCATATGTTTTTAGATTTCCAAATATTATTGAAGAATTAACACAAAAACCAAGAGATGATAATTATTACGAAGCAAATATTTGGCCAGATAAGAATCCGTAATTATCAATTATTTAGTTTTATTCGTAGTAATTTATTTATTTTATAGTAAACATGAAATAATACAACTTCGTACATGGATTAAGAGTTTACCAACACATTCAATACCATTGACAGATGGTGCCTGGGAAATACTTGATTTACCTGTTATTAATGAAATAGAAAAATCAATTAAATCATTTTATACAGTAATATTTCAAATATTTCAAACATTTTAATTTTGTTTTGTTATATAGAAACGTGCAGAAAAAAAACCAGTTGAGAAAACGAAAGTATTTAGTTTTGAGCCAGATCGATTATTTAAAGCTAGTGAATTCTTGGGCATGTGTGATCCAGATATTGGAACAACTTTTCAATTATATGATCGTGTTGTTAATGTTCGTCTTGGTACGGGTGTACCAATTGGAACACGTGGCACAATTATTGGTATTATGCATGGTCAAACGAATTTAGATACATACTATGAAATATTATTCGATAATTTACCAATAAATAGTCTTGAAGCTATATTACTTGGTAAAAATCAACAAAAATGTCGTATTAAAGTTCATTCATATCATTTACTTAATTATTCTCATTCACTTCGAGTTCGTTCAAATAATTATCAACATCAACGTTCTGTACCAATGGTTAATACTCGGGAGCAACAAACACCTATGAATCGACAAGAACAATCTTCTCGTGTATTTCGAAAACAGCCAGATGATAAAAATACAAAACCAACAAAACCAAAATCAGCTCCAGCATCAAATACATATGAAAAACCAAATTTCGCTGAAGCTAAACAAACAACACCGATTACAAATAATTCATCGTCATCGCCACCAACGACAATAGAACAATCAGTACAATCTATGAATATAATAGAAGATTCGTCATTATTTCCAGCACTTGTCGAAAATTTACCTGATCAGGAAATAATGTCTACACAAATGAACTTAAATATACCTTCAACAGGAGATCCCTTATTTTTACGTGCTATTCAAGATTCTGAACAACTACAATATGCTTCTCATCAATCATCAACAGCTGTTCCACAAATGGATTTTCAACATGTTCCACCAATGTTTCCTCAACAAACATCACATATTGATTTATCACAATACCATCAGTCTTCATGTATATAATGAATTATTTCTTTTCCTAATAAAATTTTTATTATTATTTCTTAGTCCCAACTGATGGTGTCCAATATTGGCCACAACAATCACAAGATCCATTCAATCAACAATCTTCCATCTATACGCAACAATTATATCAACAACCAATGCCCGATCCTTTTTTTCAATCTGTTGATCAATCATTCAATCCAATGATGTATGATCCATCTAATGGTTTACCACTTTATTCGCCATATAATTTACCTCCTGAAACTGCATTTTCTGGTTATCCTGGTGAACCTATGGGAGGTTATTTCCCGTTAAATAATGAACAACATCCATTTCCAATGCAAACACAAAATATACCTGCAGAATCGCATAACACTACAGCAACGTCCCATATGCAACCTCAATCTTCCCCATTACAAAACCAACAACAAACGACTTCACCTAACGTAACAAATAGAGCAACTCTTCAATTTATTCCAATTCAGGTTCTACGTAATATACCTAAAAAATCATAAGTAAAAAAACAAAAAAGAACTAACAATGATTAATTTTCACTATTATTTTTTTAATTACACGTCTATTACAAAACAGTTTTTCTTTCTGTCCGTTCTATTTTCATGATGATCATATTAATCTTTCAAAATCATGTCCTTTACTTTTTGCTTTGTCTTGTTTATACTTTTTCATAAGTCTTTCAATTTGTTGAAGGATATAACAAGTGAATACAAAAAGTTATTTTGTTGGAATACTTTTTTTTATACGTGTATGTGTAAACACAAAAAGTTTAATAGACAAGTGACATTTTCAATTTTGTGATAAAAAAGAAATATATAGTTACTATAATTGACTTATTTTTATTAAAAATATATTCTTATTCTAGATATATATATATCGGCAAATTATATTTGATTTAGTGTAATAATTTGCCTTGTTTTCAGATGACTAGTCAAATAACTACAACACTAAATGTCTCATCTGAGTCACAATTAGATTGTGCACTTGATTTGATGCGACGTTTGCCACCACAACAAGTCGAAAAAAATCTTTCAGATCTTATTGATCTTGTACCTGATTTAACTGAAGAACTTTTAGCTGCTGTTGATCAACCACTTAAAGTTGTTCGTGATCGAACTGCTGGCAAAGATTATTTACTATGTGATTATAATCGTGATGGTGATTCATATCGATCACCATGGACAAATACATATACACCAGCATTTGATGGTTTGTTTTGAATATTTAATTCTTCTTTAAGTCCAAAAAATATATGACCCAGAAAATAGAGAATAGCATTTAATCTTATAATTTCTCAGTACATTTCCATAGAATATGATATTGTAAGATGAGTAAACATAATGCTTTTTTAATTCTAACTTTTTTTTACAAATTAATAATTTTATATGATATATAGTAATTCAGTCAGCATTAATAATACAAATTGTTTGAATATGACTGATTACCTTCTTTTATTTCTCATGCATATAATTGTGTTAATAACAAAAAATCTAATTGTTTTTTCTTCTTTAGGAACTCTTCCATCGGATCGTTTACGTCAATTAGAAATTGATGCAAATCAAGCTTTTGAACAATATCGTGAAATGTATTTTGAAGGTGGAGTTTCATCTGTTTATTTTTGGGATTTAGAAAATGGTTTTGCTGGTGTTATACTTATAAAAAAAGTTGGTGATGGAAGTAAAAATATCAAAGGTTGTTGGGATTCAATACATGTTGTTGAAGTACAAGAAAAACAAAATGGTCGTGCAGCACATTATAAATTAACATCAACAGTTATGCTTTGGTTACAAACACATAAAACAATGTCCGGTATGATGAATTTAGGTGGAAGTTTAACTCGACAATTTGAAACTGATCATCAAATAACAGATTTTTCACAACATATTATAAATATTGGTAGAATGATTGAAGATATGGAAAATAAAATTCGACAAACACTTAATTCAATTTATTTTGGAAAAACAAAAGATATTTTAAATAGTTTACGTAATTCGGAAAATTTTCAAGGTCGTATTCGTTTACAACAAGCAAATTTTACAGGTGAATTACAATCTGCTCTTAATCGTACAAGACCAGTTGAATAAAATTTTATTTTACTCTATAAGAGAATGGATCTAATATATATATACATATTCTCATCCATAGGTTTTTCTTTTTTGCTTGTTTTTTCTTATTTATCGAAGCTTTTATGGTGCATATGTCGTTTTTTTCTTTTTTGCTTAATATGTATATTTCATTATATAACGAAAATAAAGCATGATATGCCCTTTCATTTTTTCTTTTCTAAAATATCTATTCTAAATAAATTTCTTTGTTTTTAAGAATTGTATTATTTATTAATCATGTATAAGAGAACATCAACTCCATTGAAAAAACAATTCTATTCATCATCTTCGTCACAATCGAAAAAAATATCAATTGGAATACAAACAGATCTTATAGGAAAATATGCCGAAAATATATCAGATTATTTAAATAATATTTTAATGCAAGGAAAAACGATGAATGATAATGATTTTGAAAAATTTGTTAAAGGTATAAAAAAAGAATTATGTAGGAGTTAAAATCATAATTGTTTCCAATTAATATTTACTAAAAAAAGATTTTATTGGATCTAAAAGTATCATATTTATATTAATTAAATTATAATAATGTTAAAGAGTAGAGAACTATTGAAAGCATATGTTAAAGTTGATTAATATTCATACTGATACATAATGCTTCTTTTGTATTGACTTTGGAAAACATGGGTACTAATTTGAAAAGAATTTATTTAGTGGAAAACACTTATGACCTTTATTAATTATGAAAGAGATAAAGTCTGAAATTTCTTTTTGTAAATATCTTAGTTTATTATTCGAAAAATGAGAATTGTACTCATTATGACTCTATTACTTTCCCAACTTTGTTTTTATAATTCAAATAAATAAATATACTTCGAATAACAAAATGACCTTGATGACTGATATAATATCTTTACGATTCAGCTATTTTAGTAATTTCATATCATCTTATATATAAATAAAAGAAAGGTCTCAGTTAGTATTTAGCATAGGTTTTATTTAATCTATTTAAATATAAATACACAATTTAAGACGATTTTGGGATGAGGAAAAAATTAAATGCTATAAATAAATTATGAAGTCTATATGTTTTATGTTCATTCAACCTCCTGACAGTATACGATTCATTCTTTCGTCTTCCAAAAAAGCTGCTTGTAGAAAGATAACACAATACTATAAATATCTTCTAAGATTAACCAAACAAACAAATCCCTATTAAGTTTATCTAAATGTAAAGGATTCCGTGGATACATGATAACCAAAAAACAAATCTTCATTTAACTAATTGCAGTTATAAATGAACTTATTATCTTTTCATGTTTGGAAATAGCTGAGTACTTGATGTCTAGTATTGTGAAGATATTTATAGTAAAATATTATCTAACTATCAGAAGCTTACATTGTATGTCAAATCCATGAGATACTGATTAAATAAATTATCTTGTCAAAAAAGTAAACTCTCGAGGAAATTAGTAAAGTCAAAGAGAACACAACTCTTCATAATAGTTAAAAATAATTTTCAATTAACAAAATAAGGGCAGTATTTTCTAGTATTTCTCTAAAGCAATTTTGTAGCAACTACTTACATCTCTTCAATCACGTAAGAATATGATTAACTATTCTTATTAAGTATCTACTTTTCTGTTTTGTTTGTTAAATAGAAAAATAAAAACTTATTTTAATCAGATTATATCAACGATTTGATCTTTTTATATAATAGTTTATGCAATCGATTCTTATTGGAAAGTATTGGCTGAACGTGCACGAATTAAACTTGATGAGCAATTGCAAGAAAATCGACAAGTACTTTAAAGAAAAAAAATATATATAAAAGAAAACGACCTTTGTTTATAGCTTCATGAATTAGTTGATGAATTAACTAAAGAAAATGAAGAATTACAAACAAAAAACGAACAATGTGAATATTTAACAAATATTTTTAATGTATGTTAATTAATTATTCATTTTTTACTCATTAACTTTTCTATATTTTAGTCAATTATATCAGAATATGATAGTGGAATTGAATTACATAGCATTAATGAGTCTCTACCATTACGACAAGCATAACATCATATTTAATTATTGTCTAGACGAAAACAAAAAAACAAATTCTTTTTTTAAACAGTAATATCTATGAAGAATAGATAATGTCAGATGTTGTGTTTTCCTTTTTCTTAGCGCATGTGTTATCAATTTTCAATGTCTTTCTTTAAATGTTTGAATAAATATATCGATTTTTCTCTTTATAGACAAGCATTATCGTGAGATTATTGATGGAATCGATTGGTTTTTAGCATATTTGACATTTGTGTATAACTTATGGGCTATGTATACACAAATAGAAGGCCATGCATAAGAAAAAAACATAGTACACATATGTACCCAGCTGTTGGATCGTGTTATCATGTGCTTGATTTCATCTTGTTGATAAAATATTAATGGGTCGGAAACAGAAAATTTGATATCTGTCAGGATGATAAAATACTTTTTTTCCCTGCCTCTTCGTCTTGTTCTTTTATAGAAAATCTAACATATATATTGAGTATGATCTAGAATACATATGATGGATAATTAAAAAAAAGTCAGTCAGTAATTCTATTAATAGACTAATTTTGAAATTGAAAAGTAAAAGAATTTCAATGATGATTGACAGGTCATTTGTAAGACTGGATGTTACGAAACAACATCATATTTGATTTCTCAATAATAGATTAGAAATCGAAGAAGAAGACATACTCGACGCGCCAAATAGGCACAATCAAAAAAATATATTGGTTTATTCGTCTTCTTTCTCTCTTCTATCATCATTTATTTTTAGCAACAATCAGCACACACCATGAGGCTCGTATAACCACACACACACAATATTCCTGTCAATCAGATTAACTAGTGCACTTTTTTTACTCATAGAATTTCCGTAATTTCGCCTTCCTTTTACAATTAGATTTTCTTCTTCATATAACATAAATATATACATTACTATCGGCAATGATCACTTAAAAGATACAATCAAACGAATTTGTTTTTTTTCTCGTTTACAATAGATTTACATAATAAAAATCTTTACATAAATATAGCTTTGTCAAAGTGCTTCTGACGTGTATGCGAATGATTCCAGAAAACTTTTCAACTCAAAACAACCGTAGTACTTGTTTTGCCTCTCGTTTTATTTCTATATTAAAATAGAAGAAATAAATGTAGAAGAAAAAGAAACGACGCCATTTTCTTCAAATGCATTCAGGTAGAAGAGCGACAGTAAAGTTATAAATTATCTCTTAGCTAAAAGTACTTAACGATGACATTCGTTTTCAAGTAAGTAGAAAATAGATAAGAACTACAAAAATTAGAAACTAATTAACTTCAAAGTTGATTTATTTCAAATCAATTTTTTGGCTATCTATTGTTTCTAAAAAAAAAGTTTATTTTATAATATTACAATTATTAATCGAAAATTTTCCCCTTTTTTTTCCCTTTCCACTTATATCAATCGATTGAACAATCAACAATAAAATAAATGTTTTAATTTTCTCTACATTAATGGAAAAAAACAAATCAAGATTTGAAAATTTACGTATGATTTCATTTCTAATATTCTTATATACTACTCGAGTAACTGCTTTGTTTTTTCAACTGTATACAGTGACATTTCAGTTTCATACTGCAAAATGTTCTTAAAATCATGAGCAAAAAAAGAAATAGTTTGCTTCGCTTTATTTTTTCCATTCTGTAAATTAAGTTGCTTATACTTTTTCAATGATTGCTATTCTTTTTTCTCTGTATTATTTACAGTTTCTTTTTTTCTAATCATGACAGGTAGTGGGAATTAGAATATTGATATATAGCATGTGTTTTGCGAGTTGCAACTTGATTAAAAAATACCGACATGATATTAGACTCTCTTATTATAAAATTTACTTTACGGTTATACTTATAGGAACATTTTAAAGTAGTATCAAAAGAAAAAAATTATATACTATGACTTAGAGAGATATTTAATAGTTGTATTTTTTTACGAGATTAAATAAAATATCATGTCCGTATTAGAAAGTAATTAACAAAAGAATCAATAGTACGCCTACTGATTTCTAGAAGAAAAAAAATTCAACGAAAAATCTTAAGTATAGATTATAATAATCAGTTCCGAGCGTGTTCTTTTTTATTTATTATTTAAATAGAGGTGTCTATGACATAGAATAAAAAGAGTTGAAAGAAATGTGGATAGGTACATAGTGTCTTTTTTCTGCACACTTTATAATTTATAAATCATAAGATGTAGACTTTGAAAACTAAATGAATATTATCTATGTAATAGAAAAGAATAGAATATTCTCGTGAAGACATATGATTATTTCATTATGTTTCTTGAGTGTAAGTTGACATAAAAGCATTTCTGTAGCGAATAAGAATATCGCAACTATATGATGTCTCTTTCTCATTCTCTTTTTTCTCTTCTGTGACTACACTTTCCATCGTTTGAGGCATCCGATTAGCAGGCACGACATGAGAGTAGACAAAAAGCTAATTTGACTGATGTCATATATAATGTATTCTTTGTGTGGACAAGACTATAATACTCATGCATGTATCACCTTCAATATATAATAATATGTTAAGTGAAAGTAAGTATAAAATAGTTGATAGACATCGCTATTATTTTACTGTTGTTTTTTTAACTTCCATTCAGTGCAAATTTTATGCGACGAAAAAAGAGAAATCTAGTCATAGTGTGCATATAGTGTGTCTATTGATCTTCTCTGCACTTTTGAACTTATGTGGCATATTTTAATTTTGATTATTTTTTTCTTTTTAAAATGGACTACGCGATGTCAGTATATTGTAAAGTATTATCATATGCAATTGCTAATTTAATGTTGATATGAGTGTCAAAAAAAAATCAGCGAATCATTCTAGTGAGGGTTATTTATGCAATTAGAATGCTTTCATTCTGTTTCTCTGTGCCTTTCATTCTCCCTCTCTCTCACTCTTCGTCACTATTAAGTACTCACTCGAAAAACAAGTCAGAAACACTGTTTGGTATTAACATTGATTCGTTACCTATTATTAATGTCGTAGAAGAACTTATTTAAGCTTCCGTAATATATTGAACATAGTAATATAAGAAAGCTTTTTTGCCCTGGATAGAATTCGATAGGATAGTTTTTATTAAAGACTTTTATAACAAAACAAAAGAGTACGATTAACGATATTCTTCCTATTTCATCTTATATTAGATTTATTAATCGTTAAGATTTAGTATATACATACATATATATATACCTGTTTATCTCTATTAACTCTTATGTTTACATAATAAAGCGTTAATTGTCTATAAGATCAGCAACGATGACATCTTCAAGTCTATGTGTTAACCGATATAAGGCGATAATATGATCTTTGATAAGAAGACAAATAGCTGACACATATACGCCATAAATCATCGGTGAGAATGATATACTTGCACACCCACTGTTGTACGCAACTGCTTATGATTAAAGAATTTCTTTTGCGTAGGATAAAGACAGAACGGTTGATCTTATTATCTTGCTGTTTTCTTCTTCTTCTTCTTCTTCTTCTTCTTTTCTTAATAAATAGTTAGAATACTCATTTTAGTTTTTAACCAACATTCATCACAGAGAGTCGAATGTTAGAAGGTGATCGACATATAGACAAAATAACATCATAGTGTTTAGTAATGCATATGCTTATTTGCACTATTTTAATAGCTAGCATGAGAGAAGAATACATGATTATATTTTGTTTTTTTTTTTCTTTCGGAATAAAGCAATCAGAACTGAAGATTAATTCAATGATGTACAAAAATAGAGAGAGAAAAAAAGAACAACTCTTGTCTATGATTAATTTTTACTAATTATTATTTAATTAAATATTTAAGATATGTATCACGATTGATTATAATGACTACTACTACATTCAGTTCATCATTATTTACTAATTATTCAAATGTTACATCTAATAATAGTACAACAACATCAACAATGCCTGTTTGGATTCGAATAGTAACTTTAACCTGTATGATATTAATTGATATAAGTGCATTTCTTGGTAATTTACTTGTAATATGTGCTTTTTTTCGTACACGTCGTTTACAAACAGTGACTAATTATTTTATAGCATCATTGGCATTTGCTGATGCTTTAGTTGCTATATTTGTTCTTCCTCTAAGTATTTATTGTTATCAACGTGATCGTTCATGGAAACTTGGTTTAATTTTATGTGATTTATGGGTATCATCTGATGTTCTTTTATGTACATCAAGTATATTGAATTTAGCTTGTATATCAGTTGATCGATATATGGCTATAACAAAACCATTAACATATACAGCATATCGATCGAAATTTCTTGCTCGTGTTATGATTTTATTAGTATGGATTGTTTCTGCTGTTATAACATGTCCACCTATATTTGGTTGGCGAGATAAAAATCGACGAGAAACAGTATGAAATTTAATTTTTTTTTCTCATTAAAAACGAATATAAAAATTATTTTATCTAGGTTGAAGTACAACATCATTGTGATTTAAATAATGCACGAGGTTATGTTGTTTATTCAGCACTCGGTTCGTTTTATATTCCAGGTGTAGTTATGATATTTGTTTATATACGTATATTTATGGTTGTTTATGATCGTGAAAATTTAATTAAAAAATTTCATAATAATCTACCTTCGAATAATAATAATAATAATATTCAATCATCAAATCTAAATCTAAAATCAAATCAAAATGGTACAATAAATCATACGAATATATCAAATAATAAGAAAAAATTTCAAAAATTATCTGCATGTTGTTGTTTTTGTTTTCGAAAAAACAAATATCAAGATAATCAATCATTAACTACCTATCCTTATAATAATGGTCCAGCTATTGAACAAAAACAAAATGGATATCTTATTTATCGTTTTACAAATAATAATAATAAGCATAATAATACAAATTCTCCTGTAAATAGTCCATCAATAACATCGAAATCATCATTATTTGGTCGTACATGTGAAAATTCAACAAAACAATTGAATAATTTATCGGATGAAATGTATCAATATCGTCGAAATTATTTATCACATGTTAATGCTGAATATCAAGTACGAAATGATGATTCACCATGTTATGAATTACAAACATTTGAAGATACTATATCACCATTAATGAAATGTCGATCACGTTCATTTGAGCATTCAGCAGCATGTAAAATACGTGATTTAAATACTGAATTAAGTCATAGTCGACAATTAAAAGCAGCAGCTGTAGCAGCCGCTGCTGCAGGTTCAGCAACATCAGCGAATCCGAACAATATATTTCCAAATAAAGTAAGAATACTTAGTAGCTTAAAATACTCAAAAAAAGACTATCATCATCATCTATGGTTTCTTGTGACATCTTCTTCGATTCATTAGTTTTGACCTTGTCTTTTCGAGTATATACTTTGGCAATGACAGAGGGCATAGAGGAACTTTCAAAGACACAATGACTTCTTGTCTATATCATCTATGAGCTAAATTAGAAATACGAGCTGCTGTTTTATTCAGAATAAACGCATTTTGTTTTTTAATTATTTTGATGGAATTGATGGAATAGATGTAATCTAAAAACTAATAACAAAAATGAATGTTATATATTAGTTGTCAAGTCAGAAAAAAACAATGATGACGTATTTGACAATGAGCTTGGAAAATAAATAAAATAATTTTATAAGTGATTAAAACCTTGAAAGGGATGAAATACAAACTGATAAAGAAATTGTTTGTTGACTCTACAACGATTACATAATGAAAAATTTGTACCCTGTTTGAACCGAAGGCACTTTTTATAAAAACAAATCTTAAACGATTACAGTACTTTCAGTAACTGTCATGATTTTCAGATTATTATAAATTTACCCATAGGTATATCATAGAAATATAAGTACTTTTTCTTATCTATAGATTATCGGAAACGGAAGTAGCTGGATAATTCTTTTTTTTTTGAGAATAAAGGAATAGAACACTGGGATGTATTATGTCTGCTGACTGATCATAAAAAAAACCGGAAGTTCATAATAATAGAAACATCCATATGTCTTATGCAATTAAATTAAATAGTAGAAAATAATCTCCTTTTGTTTTGTTTGTTAGTATGATTTTGACGAACATTTAATATTAACAAGTGATACTAGTGGTACTAATAATATATTTCCATTAATAAATGAAGACTCACGTCAAACAACTCAGTCATTAAATGAATTAACTCAATTATCAATAATACCAAATACACCAAAATATCATCATCATCATTTAAAAGTTTTACCAATGCGTGAAAGAGCAATAACAAATCCTCCTAAAATAATTGAAAATTTTTCTACGAGTTTATCGGATCCATATTCATTGAGACAAAAACAACATATACCTGAACCAACACGTATTAATCGTCGTGTCAAATCTTCTCGGTCAATAAATACGTCACCATCAGCAATCTTATTAGAAAATATTAAACAACAACATAAAATAACACGTAATCCATCATTACGATCCGTACAATCAGCAAGATCTTTAGCATCATTACGTTTTCTTACAAATGCAAGTGATAATACAAATGAAACTATTCGTCAAAAAAAATGTATATGGTGTTGTTGTAGTTGTAATTCATCATCAGTTAATAATTTATCTCAAAATATGACGAGACAAATATTTGTTTATACACCAAATCATTCAGTGACTAATGATGATGATGATGATGAAAAATTATCATCAACCGACACAGCTAATCGTACACCTATCTATACACCTGCTCTATCATCAAATATACCACGTGCAAGTTCAGCTAGTAATGGTGCACCAGCTGATGTTCATCGTCGCGAACGTATTCGTTTTATGAAAGAACAAAAAACAGCTAAAACATTAGCGGTTGTTGTTGGTGGTTTTATACTTCTTTGGTTACCATTCTTTATCATGTATATTATACCAGAAGACAAAAAAAAATCATTAGATAATCAAACAGCTACATTAATAACATGGCTTGGTTATTTTAATTCAGTTATTAATCCATTTATATATGCTTATTGTTCAAAACAATTTCGGATGGCTTTTTGGAATATTACATTTGGTTTATGTATTAAAAAGTCATCTGCTTTATTACCAATTGCAAATAAAAATAAACAAATACATCAACGTCGAATAAATGCATAAGAATTCCTTCTTTTTTTCTGTTTATATATGTAAATAATCTTATATATATATATTTTTTTTCTTATTGTTTTCGTGTCCGGTTAATATTTTTATTTTTCATTGAGAAAAAGAAAATGAATATTTGATTTTATGATATAAATATAAAAATATGTTTTGTTATATAACGCATTGAACACTAAAAAAATCGAATTTATACTCTATAGAATAGTAATGCCACTCTCATTTTGACATCTTATTCAAGTGGAAAGAGATTCGCTTTGTGCGCTTTTACAAGCAATGCATATGAAAAATAATCATAATTTGAAGTTACTCATGCATCATTTTATGAAGTCTTCTTGTTGTTGATTTTGACAGTATTAAAAGAGTCTGAATGACGTTCATAAATGACAAGCATCATCCGTCAATTCATTGGAAAATGATCAACGTGTCACACATAGTCAGCAGATCTGTTCGTACTTTTTTAATTAAAAAAAAACTAAATATTATTTTACATTTATCATATAAACAAAAATATCGATAAATGATTACTAATAGTTTGATGGGTAGAAAAAAACAAATTATTAAACCTAAATCACCTCATTAATATATCGATATAAACATATTTTTTTGAATAACAAGATAATGTTGTGTTTTTAAATGCTATATATTTCAACTGATTCATTTTTTTGGATATAAAATAATATTGTATTATATTCCTGTGTTTACGCAATGGAATAAAAATATATTGAAAATTTTATGTGGAAATCACTACCATAGTGATTGTTACCTAGAGCATTAGTTCACTCTATATTCATAATGAAGTATATAATATAAAAAAAATCTGGAAAGACTGATGATTAATATAGATTTCATTGTCTTTCTTCTGTTAATGAATTGTATTGATTTGTAATTAGCAAGTACCGAGTACTGCAAAAGTCATAGGCAAAAAACATTTACGAAATCTACTTCGAATAAGTTATCTAGTAGTAAATAATAATCTAAATCATACAAAATAAGTTCATTGAGAATTGATGTTTTCTCTCAAGAGTACTTGAAATACTTTATTTATTTATACATGATCATAATTAATCCCATCGATTTTATAGTTCAATAAATATTGTAATAGAATACTATTCTCTATATATTCGAAAACAAAATACAATTCAATGAATGGTGACATCTGTTATCAACGAAGGTAGTCATTTTGACTTTCTATTGGATTTCAAAACGAAAAAGTTTATCATCAATAATATATTATATATATATACTCAGAATCAGATTTCAAAAAAAAACGAAAACAAATAGATTTGTTCTTTTTTTTTCATCTTCTTGAAACGATGAGATGAAGTTAGTTGTATGTATTATTATCGATCGAGAACTTGAGGCTTTACTTCTTACTGAACAAAATTCTGATAGTGGTTATTGGTTTCCATTTGATGAAGTTAAATCCGGTGAAACACGAAGTCTTGCTGCACAACGAATAGCGAACAAAGTTAATATTTTTATTTCTATTTTTTTCAATTATCATTTACGAGCATATTTAGATCAATCCGTCTGATTTCGAGTTTGCATCTGTATTTAAAATTCAATGTGGTGATATATTACCATGTTTACCAAGTATACAAACGTATTATCTATTCAGTAAAGAACGATCAGTAATTATTTATTAATACCAAGAAAAAAAATATATATATTCTATTATTTTATATAATTTAGACATTTGTAAATAAATTAAATTCACCGAGTGTATTATGGATGAATTTAGATCAAATGAAAGTAGCTATTAAAAAATATGAATTATTTGGTCTTGAACCATATTTTATATTAAAAACAATTCTTGAACATCAACAATTACATGGATGGGGTATTCTTGTTTTTTTTTGGAATATTTTATGGTATTTATTCTTTTGAATCTAGATGATTTAATAAATGGTAGACAAATATTTGAAGAACCAACACTTCAATATATTGAATGTAAACAACTTGATATAAATAATCCAGGCATTGTTTCATCACAAGAACAATTAATAAGTTCAGCTAAATTTAATGATAAAAGTATTCAATCTTTTTTTTATTATCATGAAATAAAATTCTCGGATTTTATTTTAGTTCAAGAACGTATTTTTAAAGAATTTTATTCATATACATTTCCAAGTGAATATATGAATTTTGATAGTTTTACTGAAGCAATGGATAATAAATTAATTGGATTAGAAAAAAATAAAATACAATCTTATTTTCGTGCTTTTGATGGTCAACAAAATTGTTATTTAACTTTTACAGATTATTTACTTGGTGAGTTAATTAATTCAAATAGAAAAATAATTTGTTTTTTTTTTAATTTTAGGATTAGCTGCAATGGATCCAAATACTTCACATGGAGGTATTCAATTGATTCCTTTTTTTTCTAAATAATATTTTATTGGTAAAATATCTTAGGAACTCCTGCGGAAATACGTTGTCGATATATTTTTCGTTTTTATAATATTGCAAATAATGGATCTATGTCTATAGAAGAATTTCGGTAGGTACTTTGAAATTAATTTTCGGTTAACATAACCTTAGAAAAAAAATCATTATTTATAAAATGCTATGACCTTTATTGATCTTGTAATCGAATATATAGGACAGTAGAATAACATCTTCAATTAATGTAATTAGATTTGATTTAATGACAGGGAATATTTATATCAAAATCTGTAATTTGCTTTTATTATGTATCAAATGTAGTATGTCAACGTGTCTATTTTTCATAGAGACCGTTATTATTGATTGATGAAAGAGCAACTTATAACGTACATTAATTTTGATGGGCGTATCTCAACGCCCAAGGCAGAAAGAAGGAAGTGCTCTATAGATATGACAGACGTGTTGGATCTCACGGTACTATTTTCTATCAATAACGCCTTCGGATGTTGAAAATAAAAAGTACTGATTGATTGTAAATTTCGGCGAAATATTTCTCAACAGTTTATTACACCAATTGAATTTATTTCGAAAGTCATAAACTTTAAAAAAACTGATAAGATTAAATGATGTTTTTTTTCTCTTTCCATTAGAAACCTTCATACTGATATTCAGAATCTGAAATCTGGTAAACAAAATGTTAATCCACCATCCTATAATGATATTGTATCATCATTCAGGTGAGTTTTATTTAAAAAACTAAAGTTATTGTTTCATAAATGATATTCTTTAGTGCTTTCAACCTTCAAGAAAATAAAGAATTATTATTAAGTGACTTTTTGAACTTAGTTGGACAATTAAAATATCGTGGAACATCTGTTCTATATCGTCTTCATACAAATACAAAAGATTTATTACGAGTGAACAAGTCTGATTTTCCTGTTTCTTCTTCTCTCTGTTTATTTATTTATTTAGGCGATATAAAAATATTACAATTGATACTCAAGTTGAACAAAGTAGATAAAATAGTTTCGATTGAAATATAATTGGTTTTTTCTTCTTCTCAGCTAATGAAAATGCAAACTATGAATTAGCTGATCATTGTGTAACATTAAAAAAATCTGGTATACTTTATCAAGTTGAATCATTACGTTCGATGAGTTATAATAGTCAATTTAGTACAACAACAGAAGAAAAAATAAAATCTTTACCACGATCACCATCAGATGAAATGTTCGATCGCGTAAAAAAAGAAAAGAATTTCTGATATGATATTTTACTTTCATTTTATTTATTATATAGAGAACAATTGCGACAGATATTCAAGAAATGTTACGATTTTTTGAAAGACGTGATCAATTAAAAGACGCGTTTATGTGGACAACAAATTCAGCTATCAATTTAGGTCGATCTGTTGTTAATTTATGTCGAGAAGTTCGAGAAATTATAAAATGTGAACCACGTTGTCTTAAATTATCATCTCCATGTTATATTCTTGGTGATATTCATGGAAATTATCAAGATTTAATTTGTTTTGAAAAATGTCTATGGCGTGCAACACCAATTCTATCACCAGCATCATTTCTTTTTCTTGGTGATTATGTTGATCGTGGTATTTATGGATTAGAAGTAAAAATTTCAAAATAAATTTTTGAAAAAATGAAAAACGTTTTTTTATAGGTTATTATTTATTTATTAGCATCAAAAATGCAATGTCCAAAAAAAGTTTTGCTTCTTCGAGGAAATCATGAAATTCGAAAAATTCAACAAATATTTAGTTTTTATAAGTAAGTTCATTCTTTGAAAGTAGACCTTTACGAGATCTTGACGAAATGTTTGGGATTTCCGAATTTTGCCAATAAGGTTTTCGCCAATACATCTCATGGAATTTCACTAATTGATGAAAGTCCAGTGCACCTTCGCTAACATACTTATAGAAAGTTCGCCACTGTCATTATATGATTTCGACTATAATATGTTTATTCTGATAATACTAAGCTAATTTGTCACATGTATTTTACACTAGCCTTGTATTATTACAGTTGGCGAAAAGCCACCGGACTTACGCCAAATGACGCATGTCCATTGTAGTTTCGTCAATGGCAAAAGTCTTATTGGCGAAGAGACAGTAAGCCAAATGTTTTTCATAGATCAACTTAATTCTTCCTTTCCTAATACGAAACTCTTTTTTTCCCTACCTGTATCAGTGAGCATCATACTCGACATAATCTTAGTAATGATCTTATAATTATGAATTCATAATTAATTTTCTTTACAAAACAAATTCAGAATTTTCAGATCTCAGAGTATGGAATAATAGTTATATAAAATAGAGTTGAATATGAGAGATTTTTTTCTTATTATTTATTTTCCAGAATTCAATACAAGTAATAAAAGTGAGTTATTTATTTTGTTGTTGTGCCTTTATTTGACTTTTTCATTGTGTGACTATTTTGTTAATAATATAATACTTTTAGTCTGTCTTTGAATATCTTAGATAGTTTTTGTTTTTGAAGAATGAATTTATTTTGAATTTTTCTAGAGAATGTCTTGGAAAATTCGGTGATATACTCGGTAAAGAAGTATGGGAAGCAATTAATACAGTATTCGATGTTCTTCCATTAGCTGCAGTAATTGATGATAAAGTATAGCTACAATTCATTTTTGAAATTCTTTTTCTAGTATTTTCTAACGTTAGATTCTTTGTTTACATGGTGGTATTCCAAGTCCTATGACATGTCCGGATGAATTAATTGCAGCAGTTAATGAAATTCCTGTACCATTAAGTGAACCTGAAATAGACTCACCTTTAGCTTGGGAAATAATGTGGAATGATCCACTTTCAAGTGAGACAAATCAAAATGCTCCAACATCAACGGGTATTACAAATGGATTTTTAAATAATACAAGAAGAAGTACAGGATATTTTTTTACCAATGATGCACTTATGGCATTTCTCGAGAAAAATAATTTCAGTCATGTTATACGTGCACATGAAGTACAACAAGCTGGTTTTAAAGTATGTTCAATCTTTCTATTCATATTATTTTTAATTTTCTATAAATATAATTTCAGGTGCAATTAAGCGGTCGTTTATTAACAGTTTTTTCTTCATCACATTATTGCGGTGGTACAAATGAAGCTGCAACTATACTTGTTGATTCAAATAAATTACGATTAATTAAACTCGATACAAAATAAATTTTCCTTTTTTTTATTTTATATATTTTTTTTAATTTAATTTCTTTTCTCGTGTTTTGACCTTATATAAATATATATTTGTTAGTAATCAAGATGGTCTGTCTGATAAATTATTATATACTGATGAGAAATTATTTACTGTATGTTTATATATATATCAATTGTCTTTTTGTGATTATGAATAGTTATATACCTGTGTGAAATTATATGTATCATGAAATTTAAACACGAAAATAAAAAAATAATTTTGTACAATATATTTCTTGTAATATTTAGTTACAATATATCTGCATTCAAAACATATACCTCTATAATAGCTCTTATAGCCATGCATATATAATTAAGAAATTTTGTCGTTTTTTTATTCATTGCTTTACATCTGACTTGAAAAAAACGGAAACTATTATTGAAGTATGTATATATTAAATATTTTTAATAATTGCGAGTGCTGTTGAGTTTATTTAGAAATTAGTTTTTTTCTAACTGAAAGAAAGGGGACAATAGGAACTTTTTTGATATGATTTAACGACGTAATGTTTTTTTAATTCTATAGCAACACTCACTTGAAGGGAAATAAATTTTCAAATTAAATAATAGTACAATAAATACAAATTTCTGTTGATGATTTATGTGACTAATCGAATAATACTGTTAAAATCAATATTTATTTTATAAAATCACGTATATTCTATTCTTCCAGAATGCACCAGAAGATATAATCATAGTAAAACCTATACGAATGGACACTTCCAAACCTGTCGAAGCGATTTTTATTGGAAATGCTTTTGTGTAATGTGAACACCTCGTTATTCTGAATAGCGAGGGTTTTTTTACAATTCCTTTTTGTTATAATAAACTCTCTGACGTTTTTTAACCTTCTTACGTTCTATTACATGTTTTATACACTTATAATTCCACTGCTCTACACGTGAACAGTAACAAAAAGACATGAGTGCACTTCACAAGAAAAAATGCAAATAACCTATAAAAAAATTCCAATGATGTTCATCATAGAGAAGTTTTACTATACTTTATTGTAACATCATGAAATAAAAGCATAGTATTTTCTGACTGAATATTTATGGGTATTAAACGATTGTCAAAATACCTTACTGGCATATTCCAAATGAAAATGATTGTATTAATAATAATCAGTGGAATATTAAAGATTCGTATTTACATTTATTATATTTGAATATATAAAATGGAATAAATTATTATATTTACCATACATGTTAAAAAGAGATTTAATAATTTCAGTCTTAAACTTTTTTATTTGATTGAGACTCTAAATGAGATTTTATTATAAAGCGAAAAAACATTTTCGAATTAATATCAGAAAAAAAACAAGTTTTATGTCATTTATTTAGCATTTGTTCATTGACATAAAATAACCCATAATGCATGTATAACTCCTAAAATAATAAAAAAAAGAATGAATACGAATATATGCTATTACTAATCTACATACCAGGTATCCAAAATAGAATAGTTAAAATTAAATTGATAATTGTTGTATTATTACAAGCATTTTCATGAAGATATACAGCCAATGGTGGTATAAAGAAGGCAAGAATAACTAGTAAAATAGTTGAAACCATGTTTGTATTATTTATTCTCTTGTATTTTGTAAGATTTCAAAACTAAATCTGAAATAAGACTTATATATCCCGCCCTTTATATATGTATGAAATTTCTGCAGAGTTACTATCATCATATTCGCACTTCAATGAATAAAAAAAATAACATTACTTCATTGTCGTAGCTACCAACATTTGTGTATGGTAGGACATTAACGACACATTTGATGGAGCAATGGAATATAAAAATTCGTAGTGCATCTTTTCCTTCTTCTTCTCCTTCTTTCTATTAATAAAATATTATTTTCTTTTTCTTTCTATTCTATTCAAACAAACCATTTTT